TACCCAAAGGCTCCTTTTTGCATTAGAAGAAAGGTCAACTGCTTAGTGAAATGCACAGAGATTTTTAGCTGTGGCTCTCCTTACCGCTAGAGTATCATCATATACTATGGTCATCAGCAACAACAGGCTCCAGACACATTAAACATTCTGTTTCTTAAACACAACACACTTACCCTGAATCTTGTTCTTTCCTCTGCTTAAAACATTCTTCCCTGGATCTGCTGATCCCTGAAGTTTCTCATCTTTCAGGTATCAGTAAGAAGTCATCTCTTCAAAAGACATTCTTTCAGAGAATTCTCAATAATCTAAAATATAGTAGTATAATTTGCACGTGTTTGTACCTAACAATATATCTAATATGTCTCTGTGTACCGGATCTATGTTTTTAATCTCTCTAAAATGTATTTTCCCCAAAACTACGATGTGCCCAGAAGAACAAGAACAGCTGTACTGTTGCCCACCAGTGCGTCACTGCAGCCCAGAACGGCAGTACCTCTGCCCAACAAATGCACCTCAAAGTGAGGGCTCTTGGCATCACAGTCTTATTTAACTCTCACTCCAACACAATGTAGTCAACTGTGCAAGCACTGTTTCTTCCCTAAAAAGTGAGAAAACAGGCTCAGAGAGATTAAAGGATTCGACCTAAAACCGTGCAGCCTGTTCTCCAAGAAAATCACAGTTAAAATCTGAGGTTTTTGACTCTTGGTCCCATGTGCTTACTGCTTACTATACTCCACTGCTTTTCTCATTTTTGCCTCAAGCACTAATCATCTTTTTGAATTATCACTGCAAAACATCTGTTATTTCAGTACTTATCAGCAGGTTATCAACATTGTTAAGAAATCCCCAGTAAGAAGAGATCTACTGCTATCTAGCAGTTATAGAGTACATTAATAGAGGGTGCATATATGTGTATGCGTGTGTGTGTTATACATAGGTTTATAAAACATATCTTTGAAGGGTGTGCTTGTTCAAAGACTGATTTTAATTCGTTTATTTGTCATCCAAAACTTCATTTACACTGATGAACTATTTGAAGATATTACCCAATCACTGAAAGAACATTCATCATCATCATAATCCCATTTTACGTAACTCTATCCCAATTTATCCCTTGAAAACTTGAACGTGTTTATGTATTTAAAGAATCTGTTGATTTCTTTTTTTACATTGGACAGAAAAAGATTATTGTGAAGAAAGTATTTGATTGAAAAATATTTACTGATTAATCTGTTCAACATGTCTTCCAACCAAATTATTTTAAATGATTTTCATTTTCAGAGAGTTTTTTCTAAGGGGTTCATCAAGTGTAACTTTGGTGAGGTGTATAATCATTCTGGCTGACCTTCATTAGAAGTTCCTGACTCGTGCTGTATGCACTTAAACAGAGTATTCTGAAGCATAAAAATATCGTGTCTTTTCCTCAAGCGACACACAGAAAGGATATGAGTACTTTCTAGGTATTTCTAGTAACACTTTAGAGTCTAGCACTAAGTCAATATAGTCTGGCATTAGAGCAGATGTTTTGGATTCTAATGTTCTAGTTTCCTTAAGTAATAAATAGTTTACATAAATATAATCCTACCTCCCATGGCATGGGGATTTCCATCTGAACGGGATGAAAGAGAGATGACTGAATTTTCCCAGGATTGGGGAAAAGGCTGTTCTTTGACCATTCTCCTGGATCTCAAAGAACACACATATGAGCATATCTTCCACTGGAGCCTGATCCTGGACCTGAAGAGGTCTTGGTTTCAGACCACTCTTCCTTTGCCAAAGAGCGAGTTAACCACTGTTTACAATCTGGCTCAAGTTCATTCGCAACAATCATCTGGCTATCTTAAAACTCTGTTTCACATCCACTCAGGGAATTCCTGGTAATCTGCAGTGAAGGACACTGTTTTGGTCATTGACACTGAACTTACTGACTGAGAATGTCGTTTGAGGATAATCTATCATCAAGGATGTATGTGAATAGAAAAAAATAATGGGATACATCAAGATATTAACTGGATTTATGTGAATGGTGGTATTCCATGGAATGTTAATGTTTTCATACTTTTCTGAATTTTCCAAAATTATACTACATATATGTATTTTTCAATTTTATTTTTACTTTTTAATAAACAACATAATATATTATACTGACTTCATGCTTACCCTAAAGCTTTTGTAACTTGTTAGGGTAGTATTACCAAAGCAGTTTGGGAAAACACTCGGGTAAAAAAAGTTGACCACATTTACTTAAATATGATTTCCTAGAGACATTTGCATGCTAACATTTATGACTAATCTTCCAGAGGCTTACATAATGAGCAGAGTTTTCCAGCACTGGAAACCTTTGGTTCCACTGCACACTCACTAACAGCTGACGACAAATCAAAGAATCCTGAGTGTGAGGCAAGGGAAACACATTAGAGTGGAAAGTACAGAAAGCGGCTGTTACGCTCTCCTGCTTCCCACGCGCCTGGCTCTAGACGGTGCCCAGGTTTCACGGTGCTGTGCGGGCTTCTTCCTGTTTTGACGCCATTGCCCACCTCCTTCATTTTGTCGTTGAATAGTCACTACAATCCCCACAGGCAACCTTCAGTATGGGAACTTGGAAATTTTGCTACCTTAAGTTTTAGGGTTTGTGAATGTGTTTGGAGGAGTAAGAGGAGAAACAGCAAAAATCACACCCTTTAGGGATCGTGGTATGACTACCGTGCCTGGCGAGAAGGTCACTGGGGAGACTCAGGGAGGGAGGGCCGTGGTCGGGCGCAGGCCCTGCAGTGGCGCAGCGGTGAGCTGCGGGAAATCGCAGCAGGAGACGGCTGGTGGGAACAAGAGGAGTCGCCAGAAGATGATGGGCTGATATGGTAAACACACTTACGGGCCAGGAGACACACGAGAAGACAGAAACAGACTTTGAAAATGTGGTTACAGATACTGATGTGATATGCTTGCCATTCGTGCCTGATCCCTACGTAGCATGGTAACACTTACGTCGGGGAAAAAAATGTATGTGAATTTAACCATGTTTTATATTCTGTTGGAATGGCACAGTAATCTTTACAAATAGACTTTTTAGCCTTTATAATTTGCTGCTTATGTAGCATAGTAACCTACTAGAAATCTAAAAACGACAGAGGGAAACAGCACACACACTTGGCACGTGGCGATCTCACTTCTTCAGAGCACTTCATCACATTAGATAAAACAGATTGGTTGCTCCTAAAACATCTGGTAGGCCAATTTTTGCAAAGCTTAGCTCCCCTGGGGAAACACCTTCAAGTGCAGAAATTTTGCCCTCCCTGTACTCAAGAAATAGGTAACGGTGATAGAGGAGTCCAGGAGAGCTGCTCCCCACTGCCACACGCTCCCACGTGCAGACGGGGATTCATAAATTTCCCAAATGAGCATGCATTTAATGGTGGATCCCTGCTACAAATATAAAAATTAAGAGTTGACATAATTTAATTCCATAGATGTCACTCAGATTTTCCAGATGTTCCCCCTAAGCCTTAGAGTTTATAATCTACGAGGGCTGAAAAGCAACCTTGGAAACACATGACCTCTGGAAGGGGTCGGCATGGAAACCCAGGTAGAGGCAATCGGCTAAGGCAGTTGAGACGAACTGCTGACAGCTGTTTGTCTCTCCACAGCTACGCAGTTGCTGTGGAATGATAAAACTGAGGTTGGAATTGAGTTTTTATTTTAATAAATTAAAACAATTTTATTTAACAAAATAAAATATTTAAATTATTAAATAAAGTTATTTAATAAATTAATTTAATAAAACAATTGTATTTTCTGTCTCAAACTAGATCCTCCATTTTGAACTCTTTAAAGGGTAAACCCCAGATAATTCTTATGTCAAGAGGCTCTTTAAGCATTTTAGAGCCAATAAAATTGTTTGCAAAACAAACCAAAAAATATTGTATTGGTTATTGAAGGGTCTATCTCCACTTCCAAATTATTTTCCATTTTGAGGTACACATTATATGTACTGCATAACATGACCTCCTTGAGAAAAATTTATTCTGAGCATGAATTGTTTACAAGTGAATTGCTGAGGGATGAAACTGACACCCAAAAGCCTGTATTATTGCAAATACTGGATCACCATTTCAATGCCCTGCACCGGAGACACCATGTCCCGGTAAGTGTAACGTCCTGGGCTACTACTTCTCAGAGCGAAAGTGAAAATTACAAAGTTATCCTTTTCATTCTCACCTCTCAACAAATTGTTTCCTTTTATGAAAGAAAGATTTTTCTATTTTTTTTTTTTTTTGGTGAGTGAATGTAATTCCTTGAAAATGTCCCCATTGAGCTGTCAGCAGACTATAATAAATATGTTTTATTGGTTGATATATATGCCTCGGAGACCAATAAAATAAAATCACATTGAACCTGAAATGGAATCGATTAAATGAACTTTTCTCTGCCATAATATGTTCTTTTTATCATCAAAACTGAAGACACTTATAGGGGTTGTCAGAGTTTTCCAGGGAGTCATTTGGGTAATTCAGTTACGATTTAGTACCAGAAAGCAGTATTTATAAAACATGCCCTTGAGTCCATAAAGAGTTAACAGAGCTTGCGACCGTGCAGCATATACTTCCCAGAGCAGCCCAAGCCTGGCAGGTATGGCAAGCCATGTGAGAATACTAACTTAAACCATGCCCCTATGCTAACACGTTTTTATTACAATGTGAAATGGCTTTGGTATCAGTTAGCAAAGTGTGTCCATTCTTGAAGTAGTCATTAAGCGATAGCTGACTTCTTCATAAACTTCCTGCTTCCCAAAGTAGAATATTTAGGCTCTGTTCTTCGCTGAAAAAATATTAACTGTGAAATTTCATGTGTAAGCAGTAAATTATCAGGACTGCACAGTGGACCAATTTTAGAAATAGCTAATCAAAGCCAATAAATTTTCCATTTGGGTGCGAGTATGTGGTGGTGCGATCTAATAAGGGCTGTTGATAGACAGTCACTGTCCCAATTTCCTGCTTCATCAGAGCGTGTAACCGAAGTGAAGACTGACATCTTCGTCACCAGTTTCGGACCCGTTTCGGACCACGATATGGTAAGTGACACTGCATTTTTGGTTTTCTTGGAGTATTTTCTAACTTTGCTTTTGAAAGAAAAATATAAACTAAATGTTTGAGGAACAACTTGAAACAGCTTGCCTATAGCTTTGTGTCTCTCTGTATGCATGATATACAATACATAATATTTATATAATAGGAAATACCCAGTTCTTCCCAGGCCAAGACTATTTACGGTTATCAATCACTGCAGTCTTCTTTTGTCCATCCCTGAGATGATTGTTTTGCCTTGGCTTATGTTCTGTAAACCAAATAGTGTGAGTTATCTACCATTTGACATGTTGATTCAAGGATGCTAAGTTTCTGGGTTGCCAGCACTATTATAGAATAGCCATAAATATTGTAATTTCTGAATTATTTTTGGCTAAAAAGTGGAAAAGAGTATAAAATATGGAGGAATATTTAACCAGAATCAGACAGAGAAATAGTTACAATATACTGGTGGGAAATATTCATCTTCATTGCAAAAGGCACTCAAGAAATCATTATCAAGAATGTGAATGAAATGAATACGTACCTTTTCTTTCTTTTCCCAACACAAGCAGTTAATGTGAACCCCTCTTCTCACTGATGGGAACCGGGGCGCCAGTAGAGCTCTGCAGGTCCTGTATGTTTCTGAAGTCATAACAGCCAAGCTCCTACATAAGCAAAAAATCACAAAGAAGACACGTCATTATTAATATTTCAAAGATACATTAATTGAATATTATTTTTGAAATGCCATTTTGTTGACATTCTCTTAACATAAAGACCTCTGGCTTCATAGTAGCTCAGATGCTTCAGAATAAAAGTTACAGAAAACATCAGCTTAGACTAGCATTGCCCAAGGTGTAAAACTGGCAGTGAATGGGAAACGCTCTGGCCAGTCCTGAGGTAAGGAAACCTGGTCTTCATGTGAGGTAGTGTTTTCCACTTGTATTGTCCAAAATCCTTCTTCTTCAGGAAATACTTGTCATTCTGTAGAATACTCTTATGAGTCAAAAGTTGGGAAATGCTGGCTCAGGATAATTAGATACTTTAGATCTTAAAACAGATTATTAAACGTACCCACTATGCAACTACGTCTCCTCTTGAACTTCTTCTCAATCCTTCAGGAGGAATTGAAAGCAGAAACAAACCCAAATTTTATTGCAGTATGTGTGATATTATTTGAAGAGAACATGCTCATAAAAAAAAATTTCAAAATACAGAACCAAATAAAAAAGTAACTGAGAATCACTTATAAATCCACTATTTAGATGCAAACACTGTTTATGGTTTTAATATTCTTGAGGAGTTCCTTTCATTACTTTTAGATGCATTTGCATTTTGGTGCATTTGCCTTTTGTATTTGTCCAAAATCCTTTTTCTTCATGCAATATTTGTTGACATTCTTTAGAATATTCAATGAGCCAAACATTGGGAAATGCTGGCTCATGATAATTAGGTACTTTAGATCTTAAAACAGGTTATTAAATGTACCCACTATGAAAGGTAGGGTCAGCAGAGCACACGGGAGGCAGCAAAGCGGTGGGGAACAACACAGTTTTCTGAGCTAGAAGGTTGGGGTTTATGATCCCAGCTCCTCCTTTTATAAGGGTGTTTCCTTGGGTAAGATACTTAATATCTTTCTATCTCAGTTTCTTCATGTGTGAGATGAAAGTAATAACACCTCTTGAGATGCTCATAAGTATTAAGTGAATTAACACATGAAAAACTCTTAAAAATTCTTGTCATATAATAAATACTCAACAAATGTCAGCCATTATTACTCTAGAAGAAAAAGAAGTCCATTGAATGTCAGCCACAAGAGTGGATTTATTCTCTGGCAACACATTCTGTCACTGTGGTCAGTGGGTAAACCACTCATTGCAACATGTGATACGGTGTTTGTTGCTACACTGATTGCCCTCTGGGGACCTATTGTCAGTCTCTCACGAGGGAACTCGGCCTTCCCACGACCCTGTTCTCTCATGCCACTTCTCTGATTAAGAATATTTCACAGACCCCAGTCAGGTTTAAAGTCAAATTTAAACCCCCCTGCCTATATGCCACACAATTCATAAATGATTTTACCATTTGTCCCCAACTTGTCGCCCATACTGACTGGTTACTTTAATCATTTGTGTGGGACAAATGCTACCTTGGGGCTCAGCAGGACTGGCTGTAGCATCTGGGCTGGCCAATGCAATTTGCCCAGTATCAGCAGCATGACTTGGGAAAACCACTTACGCTTGTGATGGGTGTATTGTTGTAATTACCTATTCTTACAAGATTAGGAATTTTAAATGAGATACATACTCAAAGTGTTTATTGCTAGCACTCAAGAAATAATAATTATTTTTGCCTCTGAACTCCTTATGTACCCTTCATGGAAGTTTCCTCTATTCTCCACCCATCTAAATCCTGTATTTCCACAAAGGCCCGAATCAAGACCCAAAAGCTTGATGAAAAAAAAAAATTTAAAATTAAAATAATACCAAATTAACTTTCTCCTTCCTGCATTGTAATCACATTTATTGACATAAAATATAGTTTAACTTTTGGCCTCACATAAAGCACTGTTTTGTAAAGCTATTTTTCTCATATAAATGTCTTACTTTCCTAAAGTGATGCCAAAACATATTAAAGACACACCTGTTTCCCATCCATCACAGTATCAGCACATGCTGGCTAAGAGGAAGTGTTGAATTACTAGTGAATTGATGATATGTCTAAGAGTCTGTATTATCTTTAAAAATTAAGGTCTTAGGGACTCAATAAATACCATCCTTTTTCCAACCTGAGTTGCTATCAAAATTAGAAGGCAGAATGACAAGTACCTTTTGTGAAGTAAGACAACAGAGTAAGGGACAGGGAATACAAAAGTATCACCTTTATTACTAATGATGATGATGTTGTAGAAGGTGGCTTGTATCTGCAGACAAGTGGGTTTTCAGAGATTGAATATCAGGATCAGCCAGAGGAACCCACCCAGTCAGTGGGCTGTGCGGGCCTCCCTCTGCTCCGGCACAGATTGTCCATGTGAGGCTTCCAGCACAGCGAAACAGAAAAATTTGTGAGTCTTATGAACAGCCAGCATCCAAAATGGAAAAGACAAGAGCAGGAGGCTGAGATAGGCAAGACTGATTTCTCCTTCCAAACTCACCTATCAAATTAAACTATTTTCCCCTCTTCCTCTCCCCAAATAGAAGAGTATCAGGGAATGGGGAGCATTCAGATGTGTATAGCCATGAAGCTCTCTTCCAATCAATGAAGTATTACAGACATCGCACACAATTATATTATTCCTAGTAATAATAATAATAAATGGCTATTCTGTCCAGCACCTAGCATGATGACTCACAAAGACTTAGTATCTAATAGGAGTTGTAAAGGAACAGTGGCCAAATAAAGCTCTAGGCAATTAAAAACTTCTCTCTTGAAAAATATTTGGCCTGCCTTTGAGTTTTGCTTCGGATTAACTATGATTTAAGGAACCAATTACATCTTTTCTTTTCATTTTAGACTAGAGGCGCACACTAGGGTTTCTGATGTTATCACTGACCCTATGAATGTCATGAATTACTTTTCATACATGGCCTTTGGTCAAATATTAGACAGGAAGAAGGGGCAGGGTGTCTATGCCACTGATACCCCCTATTGCCTAAAACTCCTGAGCCAGACAGTATTTGAATTATTCTATAGTCAAATTTGCCATAGGTCTGCAACTGATTTGCTAAGTGGCTAGTGGAAATCACACCTGACCACTCTGAGAAGATTAATCATGTAAACCACATTATAGTAGAATTATGCCTAAGATAGAGCAGTAGGATTTAGAAGCTATCAAAATTACAAGGCAGAATGACAAAGCTGGTTAAGAGAGGAAAAGCTTTGTACTTCTTAAAGTGGGAACTAACAATGTATCTAATAATAATAACCATTACGACATTCAACATTATTGAATGTTTACAGTATGGTAGGCACCATGCTAAAGGTTTTACAGACTGTATTTCATCTAATCTGCATGCCAGATAGTTTAGCTAAGCGTTCCTATTATCCACGTTTTCTAGATGAGGACAGTGGCCTGGCCAGGCAGCAACTTGAACTTAGGCTGTCTGTCCCTGGAGACTCCGCAGCTCCCTAAGCATCTGACTTCAACTGGAATAGAAAATAAAATTAGGACAACTCCTTACCTTTGTTTTAAAAACCATTAATTGGCACTCAAACAGCACATTCCCAGGGCACTGCGTTTGGACGCAGATACCCAGGCAGCGCGGCCAGAACCGTTTTCCACAGTGTTTAAAGCTTCGCCAGGCAGAGCACACCAGGTGATAAAAAACGGTGCCGCGTGGCCACTTCAGTACAACAGTGATTTAGAACCTAACACAGGTTTTGTCCCCGGTCTCCAAAATAAGCCTCAAGTTCTCGAGGGACATAGCCTATAGAACAGGGCGACTTGGAGAGACTTGTCGTCTGAGTGGTGGGGCCTAGAACTCTGAACCTTGAACATGTTCTTCAGCACAGCTTCCTATTTATTGACAATCCTCTGTGGAGTCCTGTCTTTTGCCTTCTGTCTTTACTTTGCCTGGCTATGGTTACCTTTTCTCTTTTCGCAGGTTTTCTGTCCTACCACCATTCCAAAGAAATACCATTGTTTTCATTTCCAGCTACATAAAAATGCATTATAAATGTGTGTTCATTAAAAAATAAAACAGGAGACACATAATGTCTTACACTTACTGAGAGCCCCCTAAATTCCAGACATTCTTGCAAGCTATTTACTTTAACTCACTTCTCAAAATAGGCAAATGAAGTAAGTACTGCCATCATCCCCTCTTTATTGACTAGGAAACTAACGTGTAGAGAAGGTAAGAAAACAACCTGAGGCCATTCGGCTGGCACAGACCACTCAGCTCTACTTAGCAAGCGTAGCGTTTATACCGATAACCGTTAGGTTGCGGCTCTGCCCTCTCCTCCCTCTTGTTCCAGTTTCCTGAAGAAGGGGCCCTGGCCCATCTTGGTCTGACGGACTGTTGTGACCAGGGGGGCAATGTCCTGCTCTACAAGCAGCTGCTGGGAGCGAACAGCTGCTAACGTGGCAATACTGCAGCGGCAGCTGTCAGAGCATGGGAGACAGACTATTTACCCTCTTGAGTAGGCAGGAGCTGATCGCTATCAACTCCTTTCACTTCAGTTTTCATTTTCACTTCTAAGAGAGGGGAAAACGGAAATCAAAACTCACCCAGTTGATTTGGCTCCTTGTGTGCATGTGCACACAAGTGTTTGTGTGACCAGGACTATATTTCAAGAGAGAGTATCTTATATGAACTTGGGAATTTCATTGTCTGCTATTAGCACAGATTAAGTAAAGCTGACAGTATATGTGATTGTTCATGTAAACGTCAGCATTTTTTCAAGTTTTGACATATTTTTGAAATCACTGACTTCGGTATGGATCTTGTCAAAGATATGATAGTAACTATTTTACGTTTATTCTACATTACCATTTGTTTTCAAAAATACCCTTGGAGCAAGCAAACAAATGGATGCAAGTTTTAGATTCATGGGGACTTTGTCAGTTTAGACATCCTTGGGACTTTGATTTACAAATAGCCATTCCCTCTACTGTTGACCAGGCTAACTAGAGTCATTCAGCTGGACAGAGAAGAGAGCTCATGTGGCTGACTCCTGAGTAATGGAAATATCATTATATCCCAAGCTCATAAACTTGCCTGTTGCCCAAAGAGAACAGGCACTGGTGGCCCAGAGTAAATCCATCCACACAGCTCCCCTGGCAAGTACGCACTGCTGCCCCACCTCGCTTCCTGATGGAACCCACGCCCCCCCATTTCTCTCCTCATGGAAAATACCATCCTATGCCCATCCCACTCCTTTAGAGTTTTTCTTACAGCATCTAAATTAAACAATCTCTCCCTCTGCTGAATTTAACAGATGCTTAAAAAATGTTTCTTGGTGAATAAATTCCTCTCCCATGTATCCCAGTGTCTTTCATCTGACTCTTCCAGATACAGAAAAATCTAACCAACAAGCAAGGTGACTTCTCTTGCCTACAAAGATAGACTGGCATCATGTTACACTTTTCTTGTTTCTATCAGAATTTCACACTATGCTTGGTACATTATAAGCCAACCAATAATAATTGTTAGTTACTCGATCTGTAAGGGCTCAGCAATGCCCAACGTGAGCCATAGGGTGAACCTTCACGCAGTCTTTACCCAATCTTGTATAGTCTGAGAAAGAGACAGGTAGTTAACTTCATGCACAAAATGCCTAAACACAGACATTTTTTTTTTTTTTGTATGTTCAAAAGTTGGTATATACGGTATTTTTTTTTAAATAGCTTTCTGATGCATCAGGGTTTAGGGGATTAAGAAAATGTAACGTGGTGTTTTCAGGTTAGTCTTCCTTCTAGTGTAAAGCGCGCTAGGATTAATGGCAGATGCAATCATCTCCACATCAGACCGCTGGGTCCCAAATTTAGTGTTAGTGTAGCAAACCCTACAAGGAAGACCGATATTACTTTTCACTTTTCACTTTTCACTTTTTCACTTTTAGGAGCTGGTGAGTCACCTTGCTTTTCAGATGAGCAGATGTTTGTCTCTGGGCATTGCCATAAAGAATGCTGTGTTTATTCAAATAAAGAGTCCCTGGCTATGAATGATTATGAGCTTCACATATTTCTCGTGTGTCCTATACACACATATACTCACACACACACACTCAACACTGCTCGCATATTCCACATTCTTTGTTTTTTTGGGAAAAGACCCAAATTACCAGTGAAACAGATCCCTTATTTTCATATTCGTTTTCAATGTGTAGAGTTGAAAGTCTACATACATTATGATTTTTTAAAAATGTTTAATTTAGCTAAAAAGGACATGGGATTGTCCCATCCACACTGGAACCATGGATGATTCAGGATTGGGTGTGAGGTTTTCAGAGACCATGAAGGGCTCTCAAAACTCTATACTTTATCTTTATAATTGGAATTGTCTCATTAAAAGTTTTCTTATATGTAATAACCTCTGTAAGATATTCTAGCTCCTCAAGTGCTGGTGTAGTGAAGGAGGCACGGGAGTGTGGTGTTATTTTTCTCCCACTTATCTAAAGAGCTAATCGGAATTTGTCAGACCAAGAAATATTTCAGGCATTTATGATATTTCAAAAAATCATGATGTCAACTAGTGATTCACCTGACATCAGCATGTACAGGTTACCTCTAGAAACATCACCTAGCCCATATTTCGCTTCTAAAGTTGCAAAGATTATGCATTGCCTGTGTAAGCTATTTGCATTGCAAAATACAGCACAGTAAACTCTGCCATTTTCTAAAATTACCTAGGAATATACAATAGATGTATTTTTCCGTCAAAGCTGGAAGGATGAAAGGTTAAAATTTAAAGGACCCATGACAGTTCTCCGGTTAAATAATCTAATGGCAAGTAAGATCTGGACTCCAGATACCTTTTTTCACAACGGAAAGAAGTCAGTGGCTCACAACATGACCATGCCCAACAAGCTCCTGAGGATCACAGAGGACGGTACCTTGCTATACACCATGAGGTAAGGCCAGCGGCTTCCATCTGCGAACCCATCCGCCCTCCTTTCTCTTCCGCAGATAGGTGACCATCAGGCTGATGGCACAGGCCAGGCACCTGGTTTTCTTTTTTCCCCAATTGTTCAACTAATAATTGCTCTACTATGAAAAATAAGCTAGCTATATAGTACACAGTATCAAGTGTTAAATGAAATGAGATAAAATTTTTAAAAGTTTACAGTGTATATACAGCAACTCGCGGCATTCCTCCCAAATGCTCTAGCGCAGTATGAGGCACTCCCTTTCCCTACGGTTAACCTCGTAGATTCCTGCATCCCAGTAGGGTCTAGATTAAATTTCTAAAAGACACCCCGCAGTGTATACCTGAAAATATCGCTAATTAAAAGGAGGGGAAAAACACAAAGGAAAGTTCAGAATTCTTAAATTTGACAGCTTCATGTGGAAGTATACATTTTGAAGAGGTATATGAATTCACAATGATATTAGTTAGATCGAGAATTTAGATATTTTAAAATTTTGCTTAAATTGAAGGGTATATATTTACGCTTTATAAACATTTTCCACAATTTGAGGTTATCAGAAAGCCTAGTATCTCTCATTTGCTAATGGCTGAATGAAGGAAACGTAACTCAAATAAAATTCCGAATATTTTTAAATAAGAGATAGTTAAAAATATTTCTAATTTATGAGAAATTAAGAATTGTTCAGGACTCATTCTTAAGGGAAGCAATTATTTCATACCCAGTTGACTTGCTAAAATGTTGTGTTTGTAGATCTGGCCAGCACTTGGTAATTCAGACCACCCAGTTATTCCTTTGGCATGAAAAAGGAATGAGGCAAAATCCTGGACTTGGTGGATTCTGTTTGGCATGGGGATAGTGATATTCTGTCTTTGGAGAAAGCTGCCAGAATTCCTAGCTTTTTATACATAAATATTTAATGAAAAAGACAGAAAAAAAATCCTTCAGGAACCATATTAGACGTTGGACTCAACTAGCAAAAGTGTAACAGGACTTAAAAGATGAAAAATCCGAGAGAGAGAGAGAGAAAATACAGAATCAGAAGACAGGTGTGTTGAGACCTTTCCAGATCGGCCCAGCAGCATATACTGACATTTGAAATTTGAAATATTCTGCCTTGTAAAAGACCCTACACTTATTTTTGACCCTCAATCCAGTCTTTATCCCTCCCAGCTGCCAGTTTTCTGGGGAGGGGTTTGCATATACTGAAAAGTTTACCAAGAGATGGTCCCTAATGCATGCAATACTCTTCACCAAAAACTAGCCTGTATCCTCCATCTCCTAGATTTCTCGCCACTCTTGTTAATGCATTAACATTTTCCTTTACAGTTTGACTTAAGAATGCAAGATTAATCATTAATTTACACATTTCACATTTGCTTTTATCAGTCTTGTAGTCATTTAATGATTTTACTGCCTATGAAGCTCTCCTACCACATTTCTTGAGCTACCTAGTAATATGGGTGAAAATATTTTCTAATTTTCATGTGAGGAACTGGGGCATAAATTCCCTCATAATTCTACCAAAGGAGATCAAATATCCATCAGCAAATTCCTTTCTTAAATACCCGTTTTAAAACATGAATAGAATTCACATTCCCAGAAGATAAGAACTAAAGGGAAGTGTAGCAAAGTCCTGGCTTCAATTAGGCAACGGATCTGTAAATAAAACTAAATGGTTGGGATATAGTGAGATCACAGACACACTCTCAAGGATACTTTCGTTAATCTTAATTACACAAAGCCTGAGGACACAGTTCCTGCCTCACCTGTTTTGGGGGTAGGGGGGGGTGGGGCGGAGGCGGGGCTGGACCTAGAAAAGGAGACCTTCTTTTTCTTGCTGTCCACGTCTTTGTCTCAACCAAGGATGAATTAGTATGTTGGCAAGTATTTATTTGCTTACATCCCATTTCATCCTTGAAGGATTTGCTGTAGCTAGGTGGATTAGTTGATGATACTTATTTTGAAAAACGTTAATTCGTGCCCATTTTATGGAATCAAGTGTCACTTACTTTCTCAAAACAAACAAAAAAAAAAGGATGGAATCTGTTCTTTGTTGTAAATAATTCTTTTTAGATAATTGATTATGAGCAGCTCAATGTAATGCCGTACAGTTTGGCCAGTCTTTCCTGCTTTGTTAATAACTTGCTATAGTTAACAATATCCCAAAAGTGTGTATATCAGGAAGTATCTAATCTACGTCTCTTCTTTGTGTCCTATTTTCCTTAAACGATAAGGCTGACAGTGAGAGCTGAGTGTCCAATGCACTTGGAGGACTTCCCCATGGATGCCCACGCCTGCCCACTAAAATTTGGAAGCTGTGAGTAAATTTATTTTAACGTTTTGAAATTTTTATGAGAGGCTTAAGTCTTTAGGCAAGAAATCTCCAATTAGTTATGTCTGTTAGATAAAGAGCATCAAGAAAGTGTAAATAGTGATTTGCTCCAAGTGCTTTCCATAAATAACAATCTTTGAGTTCACATTTTAATGTTATTTGAGTAAGGGGTTATTCCCTATCTCCTGCATTTAACTATTTAGAGGGAAAATTCTATTTTTGTTGAAGTGGAATTCCAAGAAAAAAAACTGGATTATGGATGCTTACACCTCATAGATAACATTTTCTTTTCCAATAAATGGAGACGACTGTGTTTATTTTCTGTCATTACTGACATTTGTTTGACTTAAGAATGATTCAACTTGTTTATCAGATGGAAATATTAGTAGCTGGCAAAGGAACATAATTAGCTGTTTCTTAATAATGAAGCTTATACCTAATAGATGTAGCCAGGAAAGAATTTACCCTAATCAAAGTCTTAGGAATGTTATAGACCTGTTTTCGTATTGCATGAAATTCATGTATATGTAAATGCTCTTGAATGCATCCTAGATAAATCCCTTTCATAACAACTTTGGTTGGTTTGTTGGGTTTTTTTTTTTTGCTGCTATATATGTGGGCGCACATTAGTGGAGCCAAGAGAACAGTGACCAGCGGAGTCAGGCTCCCTGGTCTTCCTCCACCCTTCTGCTTCCGACCAGTGTGCTCACCCAGAAAGGGCGCAGGAGGGATGTAGCTCTGGTTTCCGCAGGGGAGTCACGTACAAGGACTGAGTCAACTCCCGAACGACCTAACCAGCTTTCTGTTCCCTCTAGACAAGCAGTTTAATCAACTATTTCGGTGAAGGTATATGATTCATAGAAAAAAAATAGTGGTCGTGTAGGAAGACGGCAAGCAAAGAAAATAGCAGAGGGCCTTCAGGCTTCTAGCAGCACTAGTCATGGATAGAGAAATGTATTTATAAATCTCATTCCATACTGAAACCCAACCATACACTCCTTCGAAAGCTGTCAGCTAAACAGATCTTTGGTGATAAATCCCTCCTCCCCATTCATTTCCCATTTTAATGACTGTTCTGTGTCATGAGTTATTATGTTTTCTCCTCATTACCAGGCTCATTTTTAAGAATGGTTTTATGTATCATGTGTGAGTTATATGCCTGGCAGTACAGTAGGCATCTGGATATGCCGTCAGCTCATCTAACCCACAAATTCTCCCTATAGGTAGGGAAATCATGCATCCTAGTTTGCCTGACACAGTACTGATTTGTGTCTCATATCCTATTAATAGTGCCCTCTTTTTTCAAAAATGTATTGTTTTGGATAATGAATTATTATCCAAAATTAATATAATGTTTATTATATTATTCATGAATGTCTTCAAACAGTAGGTATAGCTGACAAAAAGCAGGGCTTATATTTTCATAGGAGACTCATGACGGTAAGTGATTGTTGGCTGACTGCTGATTAATTCAGCATCTTAACAAGGATGATATCTTAAGATGTCCTTGGATGTTCTTTCTGATCACAAAATGGCTGCTACAACTCCAGCTATTGTGCCGGCTTTCAAGATAAAGAGGAATAGTGAGCACAGAAGAAGTAGTAGTGCCTGCATCAAAAAGATAAAAGCTTTCCCTAAAATCCTAAGAGACATCATACGTCTCATTAATCGGAGCTGTGTCTCATTGCCAATGGTAATCGCAAAGGAGGTCGGGAAGAAATATTTTTAGCCAGGCACATTGTCATCATGAAGAAAACTGAATGTATTTTAGGAAGGAGGAAATGAATAGTGAGTAGAAAATAAACAGTCTCTCATGTAAGAAAATTGAAATTAAAGAAAAATAAGTAAGCCATTTTCCACCTCAGAGCCCTTCTTTGAGGTGCTCTGTTCTCTCTGCTTGGGTCTCCCTTCCCTTGGTTCTTAGCATGGCTGGTTTTTTTTAAAATCTCTCCACATCTCAGCATCAACGCCACCTTCTAGAGCCTTCCTTGGTGACCTCACCAAAATCTGCATCAGTCCTCCTGATCACATACACAAAACACATTTATTGCATACTGTTCATCACTGAAATAATTATTAGTTTCAGCTATTGGTTAACACTTTTTGTTTGTTTGTTTGGAGACCTCTATACTCCCTGGGGGTAGGATCTCTTTTATTCAGCATCTCCTAGCACAGAGCCTAATAAAATGCAGACACTGAATAAATGTTTGTTAAAGACCACAATACTCAGGTTTTGAATACACCTTCACTGTTTAAGTCTCAGAAAAGATGGCCTCAGAAAAGAGGGGTTAAGACCCGTGGTGATTAAACAGGTGAGACCTGACCCTGAGCAGCAGCTCTGGCGGCGCACGCGCAGCGGGAGAGAGCACCGTGACTGAGCAGCACTGCCTGCCAAGGGCATGAGAAGACTCGGTGGCGGTGCATTTCCTGTGCAGCCATTTCTCCGGCCTGGTCTAACTAGCACATTTCAGAGATGAAGAAACTGAGGCAACAGAGGGTTAAACGTGCTCTGATCCAATATTCGAAATAAATATCTTGCCAACATGTCAGAGAAGAGAATAATAGGATTTTGCAGTAATTTAGTAGAATGCTATAAACTAAATGTTTATGAAGCATCCACAGTAATTTCATCCATACGTTGATAAGAACCAAACTTGGACAAGCAAATGTTTTCCTTACCACTTTCTATTAGGTTCTGGCTGCCATACTAAACTACACTTTCTGCTCAGTGACAAAGCCCTCGTCATGAGGCCAGGTCACCGTGGTCAATGCATGACGCCGCTGACAGCTTTTAACTGCTTTTTGAGGAAAACACAAAATAAGGCTTTGATTCTAAGAGAAGAGGATCAGACTATATCCTGACAATAAGATCTAGGCAAGCGCTAGATCTAGAAAGGATTAAATAAATGATTGTATCCTGGCTGATCATCAAGCACAGTGCCTTGCAAACAAGGACAAAGAAATAGTAGAAATTTAAATAAACTCAGAATAAAAACTTTAGAAATTACTCAGTGCACCTGCCTCTTACTACCAAAAAAAATAAAAAAATTAAAAAAATAAAACAAAAAACCTGCCTTACACATAGTACAGGGAAAAAAAAAAAAGTCAATGAGGACAACCACAGTTTAAAAAGACAATGAAAACAAATACCAAAATTATGTGTCTGTCCCTCTTACATGTTCACAAAAGCAGCAGTAACTACATTCCAAGTACATTCCAAGTACATTCATTGAGTGGATAAAGACTGCAATACTCATGTACATTAATAGCAAGCACATTCTCTCAAACTTCTGGAAAAATTTGTTTCCAAAGGTAACTGACTATAAGTTGTTGTGAAATGATGCTGGAGCAGAGAGGATACCCAGAGAAAATCTAGGGCACACTGACTACACTTTTCTGCATCCTTCACTGCAGACCCAAGTGGTCACTTTAAGCAGCTTTGGTTCACAGAATGAGGGGCATGACTCACATCTTTTTTAGGCAGCTTCATAGGTGTGTAAAAATGCAACTGTTATTTCACATCTCCTAATATTTTACTTTGGACAAATGCAAATATGGACAAAATACCCAGACCCGGTAACCTTGGTGGGGGTCGCGTCAAGCAGGGACGCCTCAGGACTTTTACAGGGCCTAGACGCTTTTGCCTTTGTGGGCCATTTCTGCAAATACATACACTAAAACGTTATTTTAAATTTCATTTATAGTTTAAACATGTATGTTTATATTCATTTTTCTCCTGATGTTAAAAGAAATTAAAGCATCTCCGTGGCCTCCTGAACGCACTGTAGGCCAGCGCACAGCGCCGCCTCTGCCTGATGGGGGATGGCGGGGGGGCAGCGAAGCCCTCACTGTAAGGCTGACTTCTGCTGCGTGTCCTTCTCTTAAAAACCCCGGGAACACTCTGCTTTTCCCAATGTGATCATCTTTAAACTTTAGTATCACTCTCCATCTAAACAGAGTAGAAGAATATGTGCCATCATTACAACCTACGTGAAGTGGGAGTTCGGTGATGGGAAATCAGAAGAAGCATGCAATTCCTTCTCCTTCCCTCTCGCTGAATACACCTCCTCCCCAAGCCTGCCCGGATTTCAGAGCAGGGCTGTGGCCTAGCCCCTCCTGTGGGATGGTGGCTAGGTTAACAGGCAGCCTAGGGAAAGTGACTGCCAAGTACAAAGAACTACATACATGGTATAAATCGTCATCATCATAGTAAATATCTATAAAAAGGATAATTACTTTAAAAGAAAGTAAAATCAGATTCAAGTAAAAATAGATGCTCAAATAAATTTAAAAATAATAGATGTTCAGTAAAATTTCCGGCGTAACGTTTCTCATTTAGCCTGACCTTCACCATGCCTGACGCAGTCCGGACCCCGGCTGCGGCCCCCGGCCTCCTTTCACCTCGCGTGCACTTCCCCCCAGCCACCCCGGTCTTCCTGTCTATCCTCAAACATGTCAGGCTTTTTCTTGCCCTGGAGGAAGAAACCTGTCCGTTTGCCTGGCCAAAGAACTCTTCCCCAAGACTTGCATGGCTCATTCTCTCATTCCTTTCATGCATTTATATCAATGTCACTTCTTTGGTGACCCTCTCTTAGTCCCATACCCAAGACAGGCCCCACCTCCTTTATTTTCTATCTCCTTACCTGCTGTGTACGGCTTTATTGCATTGAACACTACTTGAAAGTATTTGTTGATTTGCTTATCTGGCATTGTCTCCACCGATGCAATGCACATTCCCTATGATCAGGGAACCTTGTTAATGTTCACTACTATATCCTCAGAGAAGTACTCTGTCTTTTGCAGATGCTTAATAACTGTTTGTAGTAAGAGGGGACAGATAACTGAATGAATCAGGAACACATAAGGAACACGGGCTCTCGTTTCCCAGCCTGGCCCTGGAATCGTGAGCTAGAAAATGTGAAGCTGACAGAACACACCAGCTAATCAGGAGAAGGAAAGTGGCATGACACGTGGACCATTTGCCTTTTTTTTAGATGCTTACACGAGAGCAGAAGTTGTTTATGAGTGGACCAGGGAGCCAGCACGCTCGGTGGTGGTCGCAGAAGATGGGTCACGTCTCAACCAGTATGATCTTCTTGGACAAACAGTAGACTCAGGGATTGTTCAGTCTAGCACAGGTAAGTGCCATTTGGTAACTGCAGACAGGGAGGGAGGAGCATAAAGAATTTCTGTGAGAATGTGACAGTTCAGTAAGTCCTTCGAAAGCACAAGAAGAGAGAGAAAAAACTGCACTACACTGGGGAACAGTTGAGCTAAAAGCTAGTGTAATCTCTATAGACCTGTGACCTTGGACTTGTCATTTAATGCCCTTTGTTTCTTTGTCTGCAAAATACCTAACTGGTTCTGTGTGATCGGCATAGCGCGTTATTTAGGTGTGTGAACTTTTGAGGAAGAATGTCTGGGTGAAATCCTTACCCCTCCGCCTTGCCAGTTGTTTGTGGTCACCGCACAGGTTATTGGAAGAAAAAATTGCATCCATAAAAAATACTTATCACAGTTCCTGGCACATAAAAAGCTCTTAATAAATGTTAGCTATTAATATTACCTACACCCCATTTAATGCCATGATTCAATGAATCTTGGTGAATTTTTAGCAGTCATCATTACACACAGGATGCCAAAAAGCCAATTCCTTCTACAAACCATTTGTATTCTAGCCAAGGATCTTCCTCAGCTAAACCCTACAGAAACATAATCACATGATTGGTCATTTTGGAATTAAAAGAAGACGGAGTGCCATCCTTCTTAGAGTTATAACTACCTTACAAATGAACTACTCAGAACTAAATAAAATAATATTAAGTGGCTGGATCCAAAATTTTACACTTTTGAAGTTGTTTCAAGAAATAAGAGCTTAATTTTGAAAGTATCATTTTGTGACTTAAGCATGATCACAGAGCCAGATTATTATAAATAAAATTTGGGTTCTAGCGATTTGGAAATTTGCTACTCCCCCGCAATCCAAATATTTTTAACTATGTTCAATCACTGAAAGCTTAGCAAGATTCAACAATTACTTTTATAGCTGTTTTTAAAATTTTAAATTAGTTCATTCACTTTGATTTATAATTTCTACAGAGAGGCAATTTAGTAATACGTAAGGACAGAAGCACTTTTTTTCTCTCAGAAAACTTTCTTTCTTAGATTTCAGACTCTATATTGGGACCCTGATCATTCTAACCTGTTTAAGTAACAGGTCAGTATCTCTTACTGTGGTCATTGGATAATCCTTGCTTAATAGGATCTGTCTTTTCCTTACCTTAAAGTATCTTATGTTTCTCTTTTTGAAACATGGAGAAGGTTGTTTCTCAGTTTTGCAAACATCAGACATCCACATATAAGTAATTGAGTAAGTGATTTAAAACTAAATTTAAAAAAATGCACGTAGCAGATGGAAAGGTCTTAGGCTTCGCAGGGAGAAAGATGTGGGCTCCATTCCAGGTCCTGTCCCTTAGAAGAAGTCTTGTGACTTTGTGAAAACCATATTATCCAATTAGAAACTTTGGTCCCTTCTAAGAACGGGGACTCTATAATTTCGCATTAAAGATGAAATAATATAAAACACTGATCACAGTGTTAGATAGTAAATGCTCAAAACATACGTAGTACTTGTTGCCATAGTCCAGAAAACATCACAGAAGGAAGAAAATACTGAAAACTTTCCTACTCACAAGTTATGTTGGAAAAGATATTAAAGTGAGCATGTTGACTTTTTAAAAATTGTTGTTACAGGCTGGTATTGTGGCTGGCACTAGGGAGTCACTGATAGACAAGGCACAGATCACCCTCATGAAGTCTAAGGGAAGACAAACACATAAACTACAACTCTCCAAATGGGTGGTCAATGCTGGGAGAAACGTTCCTGCGAGCTCAGGGACCACATCTGTTTTTTGTATCCCTGTCATTTACGATAGTAGCCGAAACAGAGGCGGCACTAAATAAGTAAGTAAATGAGTCTAGCCTAGGATAATCAAGGAAGGATCGCTGCAGGATCTGACTTTCGTCTGTTAATCTGTATTTGCTGGGAGCCAACTAATCACTGTTCCAGGCCCAGGACATTCAGAATAACAGACACGGGGCTCTTCCTCAAGAAATCCCCCATCTATCATCATAGAGAGAATGGAGGATGTCAGGGAGACAGTAATTCAAGTGCAGCAGCACGCATGCAACAGAAGTACATACAAGCCACAAGAGTTACTCGGAGGAAGGAGCGCCTTCATTCTAGTTCTGACACTAGTGATCTTGACATGTCATTGGATCGCTTCTCTATGCCCCAGTTCTCCTGTCTGCAAAGTGAATGGCTTAGCCTGATGAACTTGGGGACCTCTTTCACTCTGGCTTCCTAAAGATTCAGCCTACCTACATTCTAGTTACGTGGAAATGCGTAACTTTCTTGAGAAATGTGAGCCTTTTCTGAGAAAGTTACATATTCTCAGAAAAGATACGCAATCAGAAATAGAGACAATGGGTGAGAGACTGTGGCCCAAATCACCAACCCCAACCTGGCTGGACCTCATAAATTTGGTCCATTAAAGTTGTTATATTGTGCTGGAGCCAGCAAGATTATCTGTACAAAATTGAAGCTTTTTCTTGTCATTCCCATAATAACTGTTGGGGCGAGGGTAGGTGCGGGTGAAGGAGAATAATGACCAAATTCTCAAATGTGGGAGTTTAGTATGACACACAGATTCAACTTCACCATAGGACACTGAACTATACTTCCTCTGGGTCCAATTCCACTCATCGGAGATCCACCTTGATAGATTGCTGTGGGAAGAAACAAAAATGCTTGTTAAGGTCTTCAACCCCATAGTTTGCATGTCCTTGTGGAGCCCTGAAAACATCAAGATAAATGGCATTCGGTGCTACTGCCTCCCTGTTTCTGCCAGGAGACTGGGAAGGACGGCAGCCAGGAGCACACACATGGAGAACGATTAAATAAAGAACATCTTTTTCCACCTCAAAATCTCGGGGGAGAACCAATTCACATCGCCTCTCGGAAGGTTAGAAGGTGTGGCTCCACCTGCCTGCAGTCGTCACACATGTTGAGCGCGCACACACAGTACCAGCGGCCTCCTGTAGGGCAAATGCTCAATCCTATGATATAGGAACAGAATGTATGAAGCTCAGTCCAGTACTTGGATTTTTTAATTCAGCAAAAACATATTAGAGGCACAACTCCTTCCTTGGAGTCTGCCATCAGATCTTGGCGAAGACAACGAGTTGAAGCCAGGTCTAAACAAAAGCTCGATTCTGCTTTGCAGAATTAAATCCCTGCTTCTTTTCTTCTGGTCCCCTCAATTCTGTATTGTAATGTATCAGAAATATTGTCACATCTAACTTAGACGCTTCCCTCAGGGTTACATGATTTGCAAGGATATTTGAATTACAATTCTTCCAGACTGTTGCATTAGAGGAAAACCATGTGCTTACTGCATAAGCACTTGATGTCTGGACATATTCCTTTATTTCAAGTTAAGAGACCAATTTTTTTGTTCTGTTTTCCTTTCATTTTTAAGTTATTCCAACATGAGTTTGATTTTGCTGCTTTTTTCTTTCCTTGATCAAACATGTTTTGCTAAAACTCAGATTCTGTTTAGTTTAGGAAGATGATTTCAAAAGATTTGAAATTCTCCTATCCTTTCTCTAACTTTTGTTTTAGTGAGGAAGTGGTTTTTAAGACAAATATAATGTCAAATAATTGCTCTTCAAACCAGCACAATCATACTCTAAAGAATCTTCCCAAAATGTCACATTGTGAACAAGAGATGCTAATGGAATATATGTAGACGCTCATCCTTCTGACATTATATGAAAGAATTTTTTTCTTTGAGCTGATGATATTTCACAGTCCCCATCTGAATGAGTGATTAGGAATAACAACACATACTATTGGCAGTGTGAAATGTAACATGACTGTGTCCACACAAGGCTACATTTTAGCAGAGTCCTGAGAAAATTGATTTTCTGCATTTTTCTCAAATTTAAATCACGTATTTTTTTTTCACACGACCTTGGAGGCATCACCCAAGGTATCTACAGAAAATGAAAAGAAATTCCAGTTGGCCACTGAACAACCCAGGAGTCTGGAGCATTGACCCTGTACTCAGTGGAAAATCCACATGGAACTTCTGACTCCCCGAAAACTTAACTATTAAGAGCCTACCGTTGACCAGAAAGCCTTATTGGCAACATGAACAGTCAATTAACACATACATTGTATGTCATATATATTATATACTGTATTCTTACAATAAAGTAAGGTAGAAGAAAGAAAATGTTAATAAAAGAATCACAAGGAAGAGAAAGTACATTTACAGTATTTGTTGAAAAGTATCCACATATAAGTGGACCTGATCAGTTCAAACCCATTTTGTTCAAGGGTCAACTGTAGTTAACATTTTATTTACCCTTCAAAAGAGAGACGCTTCTGGATGTCCACTTGAGTGAGTGCCCCTAAGCCTTAGTGCATCCCTTTTCACCACAGGCAGGTATTAAATACTTAGAATATGTACGGCCATGCGGTAGCCAAAGAGCGGCCCCTCTTCACAGTTAGCTTTCCGTTGGCTGAGGCTATAAGCATATATACAGAAAAATTAAAAGCATGAAATACTACTATAAATATAAAAAGGAGCTATAAATAAATTTGCAGTTACTTAATATTGATCATTAAATGGCAGATATTATCATTAACAAAAATGAAAGCATATGTGAATGTATGGATGATTTCCTACTATAGAGATGAAGTGCATTTCTTTCACCGCTACTTCTACCAGTTTCAACTGGAGAGAAGAGAGAAAAATAATGGACAAACTAAAATTTATTTTAAAACTATTTTCCCCCCTTTCTTATGTAAAACTCTTACATAGCATGATCTCAAGGAGAGCTCTTATTTTTTTTATCCTCACTGTATCATAGATGAGGAAACTGAGGATCAGAGAGTTTAAGTGAGTTGCCCAAGACCACAGAGTAAGAAAATAGCATATCTGGGGCTTTCTTTTCTCTCCTTGGTTACATTTATTCCTATTTCTTTATTTGAGACAGTTGCCAACAAAATTATTTTCTAGCATTTCCCTTTCTGAAGTGCATTATTGATGTATAAAAATCTGACTGATTTCTGAATATTTTGTATCCTGCCACTTCTATGAATTTAGCTTATCTGGGTTTTGAAACCAATTCATTAGCTTCTAAAGCTAATAAATCCTTTTCTACAGTACAGTTCTTCCTATTCCACTATAAACTAAGAACGAATAGATGAACAAAATATTCACCAACAGAAGATGTCAAATAGATGGTTTTGTAGGTAGGATACTGAGATGTATGTGTGGTGAGACATGAGACGTGATACGGAAATGTAGAGAGTTAGGATGTGGGGAGTCCTGAATACAGGTTAGGGAGTTTGCTTGTTAGTATACAACACTGGAGACATTGTTCATTGTCACACTCAGGTGAGTGAGTGCTGGTGGAATGAAGCCAACCGGGTATGTGGCTAAATATCCCACAATATACAGACCAGTCTCCACCTGTATATTCTACCAATTAACTGGTATGAAATATCAATAGTGCTGAGGTTGGGAAACCCTGACGTCAGTAATGGGAGTCCATTAAGGTATCTTAAGATATTTGTGTATGCTCTAAAAAGATCACTCTGACAACAAATTTCAGGGGAAAAAAGTGGAGTGAGGATGGGACTTGTGACAAGAAAGGTAATAGATTTTTCAAAGAATCTACAGAGGAGATAGAGCATTGACCACAAGACAAGAGACAGACTGAGAGATGCTGCGGGTGAGATTAAAACTGTGATGATCAACTGATTTCTTGCTCTCTTTCCAAAGTCCGAATTCACATTCAAGGATTCATTCCAGGTTTGCAGCCCGAGTGAGCAGGCAGATGACAGTGCCGTTAATTAATAGAGAGACACAAAGTAGATAAGCAGCAACACTATTACTGGGCATTATTCTTTATGAGAAAAGATAACTAATATCAGTTACCATATTTAATAAGTGGCATTAGTGAAAAATCAGTATCTATGAGATGTCTTATAAGCATTTGGAGATATAGGCTGTCATTTTCAGAGCAATGCCCTGTAAGGTAGACATGGCATCCATCTGAACAAAAATGACACTAGGGGAAGAAGTGAAAAGGAAAATTTCTTATTTAAAAAAAATGAGAAAGAAAGCTGAAGCTAGAACTACATGAGGAATCTCTACATTTACTTTGCAGAAAGATGGAAGATAACTACCTGAAAGAGAAAAAGAAAAAACACAGTAATTACTCTCAGATTGAGATAATAAATGAGTTATCAAAATAAACTAAAAATGAAAGATAAAAAGAGAACAGGAATTAAGAGTGTGCTATCAAGACAGTAGGGGCAGTCAGCAGTGCTTAATTCTTAATGCTGCAAAGGGGAGCAACCAGCTTGAAGGCTGAGATCTTCTTTAAGACTGATGTCTCCAGTTAGAGATATTAAGAACTCATGAACAGCTTCAGCGGCACTGTAGGGTCTAAGCTGACTGACCATGGTCAGAGACAGAAATCTTGGGTTGAACAGGAAAACATCTGAAGCTGAAGGGAAGGAAGAAGGTACAGAATGTGAATACCAAAGAGAGTTAAGTTTTCTTTGCAAGAGTATACCTATTTCTCTCCTGCTCTGTTTCAGATAACTAAGAATATATTTAGAGTGAATAAAGCTAAAACCTCCTAAGATTTGTAATTGAAAAAAAATAACAATTTCTAAAAATCCCTCCTGCAGTTTGGGTTGTGTGTCTATTGCTTTGGATCTGTACATAAAGCCAGACTTCGGAGTACGGAGCCCAACTAGTCCACTGGTACCCAGACCAGGCTAAGGAACTGGGACAAGTACAAAAGCTGGCCCCATCTCAAAGAATAGTTAGTGTGTCTAGGTGGGATCTGAAGAATTGCCTGTCTCAAAAACTTCCCAGGTGAATTCAAAACGGGTTTTGAGAAACACTGGACTCTCTTTCCTTTGGAGATCAGGTCAAGCTGATTGCCTTGCCCAAGGTCACAGAGCTCCTAAAAGGAAGTGCTCCAAGCCACAGTTCTGCTCTCCGGACTTGGCTTCCAAAGCCCCTTCGTTAGACAGCCTGCTCTCCCCTGCAGTGCCCACACCGAGGATCTGGTCTACTCTAATCCACTGGTGTGTGCCACGAGGATCTAGTACACTGCCTTTGTGGTCATTAAAGACAATCTGCAAATATATCTCAGGTCTATCTTACATGTATCACGTACCCAGGTTAGGATGTAAGACTATCCATGACATCTTTGACACCTCAAGCTCACCCCCAGAGTCATTTTGGTGTGTTCTTAAAGGTTGGATTTTTTTTTTCTTTCCTGGATAAAAGCTTTTCAGGAACCTGATATCACTTGGAGGAAGGATGTGTCTAACCTTCAGGTCTTTGCTGTTGATAAATAAACCCCAAAGAATAGTTTTTTTCAAGGTCAAATAGCTCACCCTTACTGTTTCTCCCTCTAGGAGAATATGTTGTCATGACCACTCATTTCCACCTGAAAAGAAAGATTGGCTATTTCGTTATTCAAACATACCTGCCCTGCATTATGACAGTTATTCTGTCCCAAGTCTCCTTCTGGCTCAACAGAGAATCTGTACCAGCAAGGACTGTCTTTGGTAAGTGCCAATCAAAACACGCATGCAAGGGTCTGGGGGCCAAGCTATGCGGATGATAACAGCAGACAGAATGAAAAAAAAATTATGTATTAAAATATGAAGTTAATACAAAGATTCAGGGACGTACCATTCTCGTCATGGTATGATTTTGAAAAGTTATTTCCCTAAATAGCAGCTGCTTCAGTACATGCAAATTGATGGGATTAATGAACATTGGATTTGATATTTTGGGAGACAAATGGAATGAAGCAGGCATAAAACATACCATACCCGATTAAAATACACACATGGAAACATTAATATTGAAATCATACCTTCAGAATACATAATCTCATATCTGCATATTTTTTGAGAATATAAGAAAATATCAGCAGGGCTACTTCCTTACATATATGAAAGCGGGGTTTCCTTATGTATGAAGATCACTAATGACCATATCATATGAAACAGTACAGGAGTACTTTACTTACCTAATGCATGTACTTCTGAAGAGTTACAAATATGTATTCTTTCTATTAAAAGCGTTTAAATGCCTACATGTTTCAAGTTAAAGCAATCTAGTGGAAATTGCTTGAAGGGTAATAACTTTTTACTAATAGGAAAAGTCACCCCCTAATTTATTATTTTAGAAATCTGTACTTCATATAAAGGGTATTTCCTGCCTGTAGTGTAGTATACTATCTTAACTGTACTTCTCAGTCTGATGTAAACAAAAGATTCCATTACCATGAACTTATTGACTCCCTCCTTCACTCAGTGAATTTGTATTTGAGGCCGTCTATGAGCGAGGCACCGAATGTAGCCGTGACCTTACAATAAACCACAACCCTCTCGGAGGTTATAATCTGGAGCTTAAACTCTGAATAACAATAAAATCATGTATACTATTTATCAGGTGCTTTTATATCAGGCTCCGTTCTATAAAATAATCCTACATTATATTATTTAACACTAAAAAAAAGCCTCTTTATTATTTTTGAGTTATAGACAAAGCTCAGGGACGAGATAAAGAAAGATGCTTGAGGCCAGAAGCTACTAGGTAAAGGACCCAAACCCTCAGATCCAGACACGCTGCACCACTACCAGTGCTCTATCTGGCTGCGGTGACAAGGCATGGAACTGGGTTGTTGTGGGCAACATTACTCACTTGTAAATAACCACCATATATTCATTTGTGAAAGATGCAATTACCAAGGTTCATTCCAAAAATATCAGCTAGGCACAATGCTAGATTTAAGACCCTTTACTATAGAAGAAAAGCCTTAAGAAGCTTTAAGTCTAAATTGAGTATTATTCACACTCGAAGATCCCTATGGTGTCATTCTTCAATATTATGCAAGGTATGAAAAATCAGTTATCTCAGAAAAAAGCAAGACTCTGCTGCCAAGTGCCCAGAAAAGATTATTTCCTTCTGAATGGAGCAAGGCGCTTCCATCCAGGTTGGAAAGCACAAAATGTTTGCTCTGACAATAACCTAGGAACACAGCTAAATCAAGATCCAGAAGGAGCCCAGTTGCAGAGCAAAAGTGTAAGTCGCTTCAAACTCTTTTTTCTTGATCACCATTTGTCAATGTTAACTAGAGTTGATACCACTTTTTAGAACTGAAGATGGCATTCTTGTCAAGATGCTTTCTTCTGTGTGTATATGTAGTTTGAGTCCTTTTTTCACTAGAAATTTTTAAGAGTTAAAATACAAATCTTTATGTTTTATGTAGAATGAGCTCAGCACTACAATGAAAAAGATTCTTCTAAATGCTCGCTTTCCTCATTCTCACTCCAACATAGCTGATCCTTCCATTTTGGAAACTTTCTAAAGCATTCTGGACTATATGCTTTACATACCAAAAAAACTTCATTTTTTTTTAACAAGGCTTTTACAAAAAAAAAAACCTTGTTTTTTACCATTTTCAGCAATCAGGCAACTCATGCCCTTTAGGTGAACCTAACTATCTATCTGTAAACTCAGCTGTGGCAAGTACTTCTGTCAAGTTACATATTTCTAATGTTTGGCGCTCAATAAAATAAAAAGTACAATTTTTTAAAGACCTTTAGCCTTTTAACATTTATTTAGTACACATGTTCCTATTCTTTGTCTGAACTCAGCATATTCCTTTGAGCTGTGTAAGATGCCAGAGAGGGTCATGGGTATTTAAAGAAATATAACAATAAAAAGAGTTGTTCTTTCTAACAGTTTAGTAAAAGGCAGCCAGACTGCAACAAAGCTGAAGCCTGTTTTATATCTTAAAATATCACATTCTTGACCTTCTATGCTTACGTTTGGAGGCAATGTGGTCCTAGAATTTTACTGCCAGACACATCAAAGTTTTAGGTTCAATCTTCATTTTTTCAAGCCTCACTTGACTATGAAATGTGAGTACAATGAAAGTAAAATCGTGCTGTTTAAAAGCTAAAAATAAAATATGTAAATTGTCCATCTCAGTACTTGGAGCTTAACAGATGCTCAATATAATTTTCCTTTCTCTTTCCCATAGGAAGGATTGCAAAACCACACCACACCACACCACACACACACACACACACACACACACTGCAAAACCACACCACACACACACACACACACACACTGCAAAACCACACCACACACACACACACACACTGCAAAACCACACCACACACACACACACACACACACCCCACCCACCCACCACACGCACACACGCCCCCCCCATTTACGCTATTCTTAACTGCTTTTAATTTATGCATACATTTGATTTGAGAGCATCCATTCCCAAATTACTTTTGACAGCTGCTTACATATACCAAAATCTGGGGGGGAAATGTTATTTACTGTAGCAGGAATTTATCCAAAAAAACTGAGGTTGTCATTAGTAATTAGTCATTACTTTACCCTTAGTAAATATCAGGATAAGTACTGAACACTTTACTACTGTATTGAACTTAATACTCACAACACCCCTCTGAATTAGGCTTACTGAAATTTCCTTATAAGGAAATAATTGTTTACATAATGAAACAGAGGCTCAGAATTGTGAGACAATTTTCCCGAGGTCACTCAACAATTATAGAACTGTAATTTGTCACTGGGTTGCTGTTTCCCAAATTCTGACATTTAATTGCCTTGCTCTCTGCTCAAGTTAATAGGTATAGGTACATTTGGGGGCAATTTTCCAGGCAATATTCTTTAAGCCATTTGTTGGTTAGGCAATATTAGATAATGCCCCAGAACTTATGAAACACCTCCAAAGTTCCAAGTAAATCTGCCCTCTACATATTTTGACCATATATCAAAACTATGATTTAATAAGAACCTCAGTGTTCTTTCTTAATCCTATCATTTTCTAATATAGTTACAAAGATCATCTACTTTGAAATTCATTAAAAACTCTGGAATATTGGATGGCTTAAAGCAGTGTATAAAAATTAGCCACCTACCAGCTGTGTAATCCTAGTTATTCTCTAAAAATTAATCAAATCACTGATACTAATTTTAGACCCATTTGATGACTATGGCAATAATTTATTTACATTTTTAAAATGCATTTACATGTTATTACTTTATCCTCAAATAATCTTGTGAATGACTGTGCAGAAATTTGACTCTCTTAGAACTTCCAAGTCAAGTGAACGAAGCCTAAATGAAGCTTTTACAGATACACAGACTGAGGTCCCTACAAATTCATTGATTTGCTCAGGCCGTAAAGCCAGTAAGTGGTGAGGCTGAGAGTAGGCCTTGGAAGAGGTCAGGAGGAAGAGGATGAAGCCTGAGCCATCATCACTGGATTATTGTGAATTTTTAAATACATTTTTGAATGGTTTAAAAGGCACCTTACAAGAGTCAAACTATAAACTGCATTACATTTAGTAGGTTGATAATATTAATTTGTTAAGCAAACGTTAAAGGCTATCATCATTTATATACCAACTCATATAATTATATAAATAAATTAAAAATAACTAACTTAAAAAGTGCTTTGAATATAGATAATTTTAATCACTAGGGATGGAGTCCCAGAATAGGAAGAGGGGGCAACATTAACAGAAAAAGAAAGCCTATGGACATTTAAATCACAAACTTGTGTTCAAATTTTTGGCTACTTCTGAGCTGTGTAACCTCAAGCAAGTTACATGCAAAATATTTCAGAAATTTCTTCAAAAGAGTAGCTATCTCAGAATCAGTAAAAAATTATATAAAAGCAGAAAACTTAATAATGTAACAAAGTATTATACTAAGATAATTCAATTATCTACTGATTATCAATACTCAAACTACTGACTTCTTGGTTTGCGCATGTACAGTTGGGGTACACAGGCAGAAAGCCAGACAGCTGAGGATCCAGAGATTTCTCGTGGATCAGAGATGCTAAAGATCTACGCTTTCTCTTTCAAAGAGCTGGGGACCGTGAGGGAATGTTAGTTCCTTTTCTAACCAGGACACCATGTTCAAGATCCTCTTTTAAAGAATTCACTGTTTTATTAAGAGTAGCAAAGTAGTTTATCCCTATAAGAGATCCCCTTCAATAGCGTCATACCATCAACTGCGAACTACACTAGGATTAAATTAAAACTCATCCAATCCAAACCAAAATGGGATAAACAAGAAAACATGGACTCCCTCTGCGGCACTGCTGGCTTCCCTGTGTGCAAGCAGGCTAACCTCTGGTGATGAAATTTTGCAGCAAGAATGCCGATTCACTTAATTTCTTCCTTTCCAGGAGTAACAACTGTGCTCACCATGACAACTTTGAGTATCAGTGCCAGAAACTCCCTCCCGAAGGTGGCATATGCAACTGCTATGGACTGGTTCATTGCAGTGTGCTACGCCTTTGTGTTCTCAGCTCTGATAGAGTTTGCCACCGTAAACTATTTCACCAAGAGAGGTTATGCCTGGGATGGCAAAAGTGTGGTTCCAGAAAAGGTAAATGCTTTACTAGCCCCTATGATATAGCCCTAATGTCTTGTTAAAGGTATGAGATGAGATGTTTGAACGTGAGGGGATGGATGAAGAATGCAGAGAGCGGGTAATCAAGATTCTTATTTCTTATGTTATAAATGATTAAGTGCTATGATAATTTTGTTACTGTTAATAAGAGGTTGTTTGAGTGGATAGATGTGCAGAGTAGATAGAGATAGAGGAGACACACAAAAGTTAATATTTCCATTCAAATATGCTTTTCCATGGTCACTACTGCTCTGAGTTTTAATAAGCCTGACACTACGAGCAAGTAAACTTACACACCCCATTATACTTTTTAGAACTGGAAAATCATAGGCCTTTAGTTACTTTTTAAACCTAATCCCTTTGGCCATACATACCACTACTATAATGCCTCAATTGAACTGTGTTTGCAAAATGCATTACCTCAAATTACCAGTGAAGCAAAGGGCAGGAAACATTTTCTCTTTCCAAAACAGAGGTTTTTTTTAAGGATCATAACAGAGAAATCACAGAAAAGTTCTTCACTGTAGAAAATTATCAAGTCAAGAATATCACTGTTCTCCTCAATTAGAACCTATTTTAGAGTGGATTTTACAGCATGGTTAGAGAGGCTACTTCTACCCTGAGGAATAGAGGAAAAAACATATGTCAGAATGCAAGTGAGCCTTGGGATGGGAGGAAGAAGGGCAAAGCCAGAGACACCGAGATTGTGAGACATCCACAAGTAACCCAAGAGGAATCACTCTGCAGCAGCTTCCCCAAAATTCCACTCCACAGGATGCTAGTCTCTTGTGATAGTCCCTGAAATTACAGTTCAGTGGTCAAACGCACTCGAAAAGAAAATATGCTGCCAAGGTGAAGAAGCTCTTCGAGATTCACCCCTCAGCCACAGATGAGTCAGAGAGTGTAATACAGATCTCATTTTGACATTCAGAGAAGAAGAATGATATATTTTCTCTGATACCAGGTTAGTGTTTTCAGGATAGTTACATTTTTAATCTCTAAGGCACAGCTTGAAAATCTAAAAAAAAAATTTCCCATAGGGTCCTCACATTATCAAGTGAGCATATAGTAGTCTGCTTATGATCCATCTGTATATGGTTAATTGCTCAAAGAAATATAAACTTCTTAAAGAACATGGGGGAGCCCAACATTTTCAGAAATGAAAAAACTAATAATTATTATTTTCTGATAAGCCGAACAGATATTTCCAAATACTGTATTTAACATGATGTTGCCAAAAAAAGAAAAAAAAAAAGCACTTGAGAATTTTTAGTATTGGGAGTATTGGGATAAATTGGCACAGGGAGAGATTATCTCTCAAGAACTTTTTCTTTTGAAAATTATTCACTTCAGTTTATCTAATAGAGTGTCTGTCACTCAACAAGTTTTAGTTAGATTGGAATCCTTGGCCTCTCTTCAACACCAGAATACATTATACATTTTATCTAAAGGATATAACAAGCTTTTTAATATAACCTTCAGTATTAAAACTCTCATTTTTAAAGAAATGAACTCAACATAAGGTTTGGCTGTTTAACTGTGTTGAAATAAATCATATCAATTTTTGACCTGTATTCATTTGGTCTACATTCAGAGAGAATCACTTTTACTTATTATGGAAATTTCTGTTGCTCCTCATAAAACTTTACCAACTCTGCTTTCACTGCAAAATGAGTGTATACTTGGTGTAAGTGGCCTTATTTTAATGAAGTGATACTAGGAAAAAAAGAACAATGTGAGTTGTTTTTTCTTAAGTCCTAAAGTATGCTTAAGGATTTAAAGAGGCGAAAAAGTCTCAGAGCACAGAGCTGGAAAATAAATTAATTAACCTGTAATAATTCCTTACTATCGTGCCTTGTGAAAAGAACCAGGTCTTCTGGAAGTAATAATTTATTCCGATCCAATAATTTAAAAGTACAAATTATTCAGAGAGTATTGCATTTGGTGATTCAAGTTTAGCTGTTCCTCAGTGTTATCTGGGTAAGTTTTTTACAATGTCAATAACCAGGTTCAAATCCCATGGAATCCTAATCAAAATATGAGACTGTGTCCCAGACATTGCACTCTAAAAATTTTTAACTGGTAATTTACTCTACACAAAAGAATGAGTTTCCAGAGGGCGGAGGCCGAGTTCGCAAAGCCTCTTGCAGGTAGGTTCACATGCTGGAACAGCATCACTCTGTCCAAAGTCGTAAATCCTTTCTAGATTTAATGTGTGGGGAAATAGACCCCACTCCTTGACAGGAAAACTGGGAAGATACTGTGTCTGCATTTTTTCCATCTTTATGAAGATATAATTGACACATATCACTGTGTTAAGTTTAAGTGTACTACGTGGCTAATTTGATACCTTTATATATTGTGAGTCGATTAGCGCTGCAGCATTAGCCACCATCTCCCTCCCGGCACATAGTCAGTCACCACTTCTCCTTGTGCTGCAAGCGTTTAGCTTCTGTTCCCCAGCAACGCTCAAGCATTCGATACAGTATTATTAGCTATAATCTCCATGCCACACATTTGATCTCCCAAATTGTTCATCTTATAACTGGATATTATTCTTGTCTGCATTTTTACTTTATCCCAATAATACATAAACTACATTTCTTAAATTTTAAATAAAGCACAGATTTAGATTCCAAAATAAGTCACTTTACTCAGCAAATCATAAACTTGCTTCTCTCACAGTTTACTGAAGAAAATGCTTTACTTTTTCTTTCTACAGCCAAAGAAAGTGAAGGACCCTCTTATTAAGAAAAACAACACTTATGCTCCAACAGCAACCAGCTACACCCCTAATCTGGCCAGGGGTGACCCTGGCTTAGCCACCATTGCTAAAAGTGCAACCATAGAACCAAAAGAAGTCAAGCCAGAAACAAAACCACCAGAACCCAAGAAAACCTTTAACAGTGTCAGCAAAATTGACCGGCTGTCAAGAATAGCCTTCCCGCTGCTATTTGGAATCTTTAACCTGGTCTACTGGGCTACATATTTAAACAGAGAGCCTCAGCTAAAGGCCCCCACCCCACATCAATAGGTCCTTTTATTCACATTCTGTTGTTCAATCCTCTGCACTGGAAATTGCTTTCTGTTCTCAACGCAGTACTTCCCATCTGCTTTATTGCCTCTGTCTTAAGAATCTGAAGGCCTTCTTATTTCCACAATTCATACTAGAACAACAGACCCCTGTCGGGCAGTTCAGAGCAGAGCAGAGCAGAGCATACAGCTGAGAGACAGGATTCTGAGAGAGAGAGAGAGAGAGAGAGAAAGAGAAAGAGAGAGCGCGCACACGCGCGCACACACACGCGCGAGTGAGAGCACGAGCAAAAACAAGAGGAGACAGGATGGAAGAGGCAAGGAGAGGGGTGTAGTTCCAGAGATAGGAGGAAAAGTAGAAGAAAAATAAAGCTGAACTCTAGATTTGTAGATATATATTTCCAAATATTCTAAAAAAAGATGCTGTATATGTCAAAATATTTTTATGTGAAGGTGTTTAAGAGTAAATTATAAATGTTTAATGAAGAAAATTTTCAAAGACTGTCTTTATTGCACAAATTACGGTGTACTTACATTTTTGTTTTGTTTTTTAAGCTGATGTATAACCTTTTTGTTTCCAAAGCTAAAAGACCCCATTCTTTCTCCTATTACAAATGCCTAACATGTCATTTTGTTGCTAAATGCTATTTTAAAATTCATGGAAACTGCATAGGCAAAGGAGCATTTCCTCGCTGTAGAGCACATTTAATTCAATGGAGAGAAATGCTCTAAATATGCTATTTCACTATCCCCTAAGCTTTTATTACTAGACTTGATGAGGAATCATTTTAAAAGATACACACACAATAAAAACCAAAAAATAAATAAAATAATTTAAAAAGATTCCCTTCCCTATCATGTCTATTTCCAGATAGCACACGGGGCCAATAATCACTCCATTCTCATTATACAGATGTTTTAGAGGGGCAGAGATATTTTGCAAGCTCTAGAATTGTTGAATGTATTCTTTTATATAACAGTACATTAAAAGCTTTAGATTGAAATTTATGACTAGTGAACAAAAATAGAATATTTAAATTATATATGTAAATATACAGCATGAGATTGTACATTTTTTACTTTTTTTAAAGTTGTGTTCTTAAAATACTGTATAAGACTCACCGCTGTTAGCTGTTAGAATGTTAAGTGCTATGGAAATACTTTTAGAACCTGCATTTAAGATGAGAACAGCTTGTAGGAATCAGATGGAACTTCAAATACATGGGCATAAAGTTCCTATGTGTACAGAAAGCTTCTAATTTCAAACTGTTGTCTGATGTACAGCAGTAAATCAGTTGCTATCTGCTCAAGTCCTGCCACACGTCCCTAAATTAGGCTCTTGTAATACAGAAAGAAAATGGGAAAGCATTAGTGAGAGCTAGAAAATCAACTGTATATTACTGCTTTCTTTGCTGATATCAACTATTTCAGTAAGTGTTGTACCATATGTAGCACCAAATATAAAAATACATGAAAGAATGTATAGGAAATAGCTTTTATTGAGTAATATTATTACATCTCATTTATACTGTAGCAATATATTTGTAGGTATACTATGTAAGGGCTTTAACTACAAGAGGTCCAGTAATACTCCCTATGAAAATTCTAGTCTGTTTCATTACTTCCCAGATGTTTTGGAGATAAATATTTATGCAGAAGGTATTTTTGAAGTCTCCTTTTGTCTGACAGAGTTTCAGAGATATTTACAATTAGCATCCAGAATCCACAGGCCATGGTCTAGGAAACACATTTAGAACACCAAAACATAAACCTGCCAGCACAGTTGCCAAATGAGGCAGTTGGGACCCATATACAAGTTTGGAGTAATGTTTTTCTCAAAAAGCTGCTATCCAATGATGCAGGAAAATACACTGTGTTTTCCTAAACAAACTCTGGTTTTCTTTTTAAATGTGCTTTATTGTTTGATTTGGTCCTGTGTAAATTTCATGAGCTAGGCCAATAAAGGCTGAACCAAGGATGTTCATCCTCTGGTATCTTATGTAGATATCATGTATAGAAAATAAAGTAAAATATGGCTCTAACTTCTGTGTTACTGTTTATCTTGTTATTTTTCAATGTTAATCTAATGTATTTATTAAGAGCATTTTATCTTCCAGACTCGTCATAGCTGACATTTGGTCTGTATTTTGCTCATTAGATGTGAATATTTCTTATTAGTCTGCTTTATGCTATGCAATGACTGCATTTCTATCATTTCTTAGTTTGTTGGTGTATGTGGATAGTATTCTATTGTATTAATTGATTGCATAATTTATCAAAGACAAATTATTCTATGTAGCTTTTCTACAGTGCTTTGCTAAACCGTGTAATACTAGTTAAGTCTTCCTTGAAAATAAAGTTACACTCTTATAGAGGACAGTTCCTGTTTACTCCCAGGAATATTTTTTAAAAGATGACACTGAATGTTTATTGCACATTAGTGCAGTGAAGTGGCAATAAAACCTAATATGAATCGGGGTTGTTTATGGCAGATGCATGTATTGCTTTACAGAGTTTAGCAAAAGCTCTTAATTTTATGTCATACTGTATTCTATTATAATAATAAAGCTAACATCATTCAATAACAAGACAGAATGTGTGACTCTTTTGTCATGTTATCAATAGGTCCTACCATTTTCCTGTTTTAAAACAGTTTCAGGTAAGAGCACCTAGAAGTTCCAAGTGCTGGCAGGAAGGTAGGCTACACAGAAGACTTTTGAAGATGCAGCAATAGTACGATCCTAAACTACCCTTTTAAAGAAGTCACCTTAAAAAAGAAGAATTATTAAACACATGGTATCTAATACTACCAGTAGCACTTCAACTCAAAATTTGTAAAATGTAAACTGAACAGAATAAAAATGCTTAAATGAAAGTAGAGTTTGTTCACATCATTGTTAATGCAGCAAATCTGTCTTCTGATCTACTCTGAGACTGGTTTGTTTTGGAGGAGGAACCTGAGCATTGCAGTTTATTGAAAAGCTCCCCCAGAGCTGTTACATTCTTTAATGTTTCAATAATCACAAAGTCAGATTAGAGCGCAGAATACTTGCAATACGTGAAAGACAAGAGAGATATCATTAACATGACAGGCATAAAGCCCTACCTGGTTTCCACAGACAGGACCACACAAGGCAAAACCTTTGTATGTCAATGGTGGTCAGGCAAGAGAGGCAAAAGTAGAGTCAACTGTCTTCTACAGAAAAACATGCATTTTCTGAAAAGCTGTTCAGTACTTAGCAAAATTTATAATTTTAAAATCCTCCAACTCACCTGACTGACTCAACCCAAATAAAACCGCTATTTGTAAACTGGCTACACCATCACATTCACTGATTTCTTGGCTCTCCTAAAATGTAGTGAATGTTGATTATTTAGGCTATCAAACGACATCCATGCCAAGGCTCACCATAATAATTATCTAAGGGATCAAAACAGGGATGAACTTGGCATTATTGCTGACCATCTGTTTGAATTTCATTATACCTGTTTGTTGAGACCTTCTGCTGGAGTTTTCTAAAATCTATCCAGCTCTTGTAAACAAGAACGATTATGTGACTTGATTACATTATAGCCATAATTTAGTCAAATAAATTAACTCCAAATGTTATTTTAGTTTAACTAAACTGAATTCTCCTAATATTGCTGAATCTCTACCCTGTTTAGTAGTGTGCTAGATGACAGAAATGGAGAGAGAAACATTTCATGGCCTTTTTCATTAAGAAAATACAGTTCTGATGAGAAAGGAAGAGAATATAAATATTATGAGGGAAGTAGAAGACAAGCTACACATCACAGTAGTACCTTGCCACTCTTCATAAAGTCATATAACTGAATCTGGAGGAACTAACAATGTCTTAGGTGAAACAAAATGTAAGTGAAGTGGCCCTGGACCGCAAGTCAGTGGACCTGGGATATAGTGTCAGTGCAATGAGATTTTATCCATGTAATCACTGACATTTGGGACCTGTAGATCCTTTAGCTAATGTGGTAGGTACTGAGAGTGCAGAAATAAAGGCGGCAGTATGCTCTTGGAAAATTCGTAATTTCAGAGAGAATTCAAGTGAACCTAAAGTTACAGCACATTACACACGACACACAACCACCAATAAACAGGGGTTTATTATGTTTGCCAAGTGGCATGATGGGAGCTTTCAAAGGAGAGTGTGAGCAGACCTGTGTTTTCAAGGATGACTCAGCATTTCTCAGGCACTTCGGTGCTGGGGATGGCTGCTGGTGATGAGGGACGGACCTTCCATTCAAAGGTAACAATACATTAAAACTTAACTGTGGGTGTCACAAAGGCTAGTGCCAGGAAACTAGCATATACATGTGGACCAGACCCAGTATGACACCAAAGGAAGCACTGGGGACCATGGAAGACAGTACGTGCTCAGTCTCTTTAGCCTCAGCTCCAGCTGTTTGGTGCCCTGTGGAGAAAGACGCAAAGCTGTGTATTGCTACATATTCTAATGTTACAGAAAAACCCTTGATATTGAAATTTGTAGTTCCCAATTTTGAAACTACACTGTTTGTCAAGCACAATATATGAACCAGCTGAATTTAGCTAATTCAGCTAATTAGTGCTGTTTTCAGAATGCCTAAACAGATTCAAACATTCACTTGATCTTCATTAATTGAGCAGCTATATTACGTTCGGTGTTACGATTATTTCATAGACAAAGGGAAGGTATTCATCCTCATCAGCAAACTTCAAAACTGTATTTAAACCAATGCTAATTATCTACATTTTTATACGTCCCATTATTTATCAATAAAATGCTTATAGTCTAAAGAGAGGTTAAAGTTTCCATGGGGTTGTAAAATATTAAGGTTCTTTTTGTTTTTGGTTGATAATTGACCTTTCTCTAACTATAATATGTAGCACACATTACTACAGAAAGGATTATTTCTTTATTAGTTGTCCATCAAAGTATAATATGCATATTACACTCTTTGATTCTTACAATAAGCACTGTGGTTACAAAAGAAGAAATTCATAAAGGTCTGTTGATTTGCTTAAAACACTGAAAGTAAGTGATGTTGCTAGATATTTAAAAAATGTACTTCAGTATAAATCTGATATTTTCATAATGTACCTTTTAAAAAATTTATACTGAATTTCCTTGACTAATGGTCTAAGTTTTATTTGAAAAATGATTATAAAATATTATATACAGTATCAAAAGGACAGACATATCACGTCAATACAAAAAGTCATCCTAGTAAAGGAAACCCATCCTAAATAAGCTAGAGATGAGGAGGGAAGCCCGTCATGGACGCTTCGGTATTTTCTGACATTTTTTGACGCAGCTGATATTCTACCACTTTAGCAGAAAGAGCATGACCACTGGAATTAGAGATCTCACTGTATACATTGACTTGGGCCACTGAGCAGTTCCTTTTGAATCTCATTTTTGCAGGCAAGAAGAATAATAATGTGGACCAACTAGACTGGCAGGGTAAGGGCCTGAGCAAATCTACCCCCCTACAGCAATGCTAGAACTTGACAGGTCTAAAGAAACAATTTCAGGTTTACATAAATCAACCAAAGTCATACAACAAGGTAGGAGGGTTTGACTCAAAAAACATCACTGAAACATTTCTAAGAATGTTTATATGTAATATTTTAACCTGGACTTGTGCTTATGACCTTTCTTGCTCCATTTCTGCAATAATGCTACCAGTGAAGGACGAGCTGTGTAAGCAAAAACCTTCATCACTGAGAATGTCTGACTCCATTTGGGGCAAAGTATAAAAAAGTTCCATACCCGTGGAAACTGATGGAAACAGCAGTCTTCCAGGAAAATGAATAGAAAGGTCAACACCGAAGGTCACTGAAGTCATGATCCTGATTAGACCAAACACAAAACAAAACAAAAAAAAAAAATAACAAAAAACCCAGCAGAAGATCCAGAAATGGAAATGTCACAGGAAGCTGAGGGAAATAAGGCAGCCGTAGTGGGCTACGTTGAAAAAAGTACACTGGGCTCCCCTTCTCCACGGTTTTGCTTTCCATGGTTTCAGCTACCCGCGGTCAACCGCAGTCTGAAAACAGTGATGAAAAATTCCAGAAATAAACAATTGGTAAGTTCTACACTGCGCGCCGGTCTGAGCAGCACGGTTAAACCTTACGTTGTCCTGCTGCAACCCGCCCAGGCTGTGAGTCATCCCTTTACTGAGGGACGATTTCTATCTACGCCGTAGCTGCTCCCCGCCCAGTAGTCACTTAGCAGCTGCCTGCGGGCGACTTGTCCAAGTGCCGCCAGAGCTTCGGTTCAAGTCACCCTTTCTTCACTCCATCGTGGCCTGGAGCGCAGGAGCAGTAATGCGGGCAGCTCCGACGTGCCGGAGAGGAGCCGTGGAGTGTTATCGTTAAGTGAAAAGATACAAGTTTTCAACTTAATGAGGGAAGAAAAAAAAAATACGCTGAGGTTGCTAAGATCTATGGTAAGAACCAAATCTTTTCTCCATAAGATCGTGAACAAAGAAATTTCTGCTAGTTTGCTGTGAGAAACCACATTCCCATAACTTTTAGTATAGTATATTCTTATAATTGCTCTATTTTATTAATTCTTGTTAATCTCTTACAGTGCCTAGCTTATAAATTAAACTCTATCACAGGTATGTATACATAGGAGAAATCACAGCACACACAGGGTCGGACGCCCCCTGCGGCTTCGGACGCCCACGGGGGGCCTGGGAACACGTGCCCAAGGCGGAGGGGGAGCCGCGGCAGGACTGGCACATTCCAGCGGCGAAAAGGGCTGTGCTGCAATAATGAGGGGGCTCTTACGACAATGATACACCAAACAGGGACTCTCAAGACGGAGGTGGAAATCATTTAGAACCTAAGTCGAAAGGGCTTGGAAATAAGAATAATTAAAGTGATTAAATTACCAAGGAGCTCAAAAGCCTATGTGAGATATTATTTTATTTTTTGCATGTAGTATCAACATTACCCACAGCTTACACTTATTGATTTGTTGGTTTTATTTCAGAAACTAAAATAATATCTGGGTGTGAGGAAAGTTGGGGGAGACTAAAGGTTTAAACAACAAAGCATGATTTTACTGGGGAAAGTATATATATATTTTACTGACAATGACAAGGAATTAAAAATGTTATTATAAATCTGGAGATTTTATCTTACTCAATATAAGACCAGGAATGATAACAAATTTCCCCCACAAAGGAAAAGTGAGTGAAAATAAAATGAAGAAATAAACCTGTTAGAACAGAGGTTTTTCTTATATAATAAAACTAAAATATTTTTGAAAATTAAATTGCTTTGTCCTTTAAGGAGGAAACTCAATTTCTGATGTTATAAATGAGACGATGCTTTCCCCTCTGCATCACAGAACAGCTATTACTTGTAGGGCAAGCGGTAACATTTGTTCCTGCTACTTGTAGCTACCTCTACTTTGCCCACTGGCTCTAGTTTTCAACAGATGAAGAACAGGGAAATGTCTCTGGATAGTATACATTTTTACAATCCTGAAAGATGAAGCATAATTTATGCTCAGGAGGACCTAGTTTTAGAGGGTGGCTAATGTGCATATCATAACGAACACCACCCAGATGTTTGTAACAAGGAAGGTTGTGAAGCCACACTGTTGAATATAATTTGGATTTCTGGAACCACAATTATCTTGGAGTGAGGGGTGCAATAGGCTCTCTTCAAATTACT